GTAACTTAGAATCCTTTTATTTCTCTGCTTGGCGTGGAAATTTGGATAATCTTCATTAACTAGGTACCTCGTACCCTTCTTCACCTTGCTTCTGTTACCTGTTGAAACTTATACTTTTACCTTCTGATACTCCCATGGCCTGCTATTCACGGGGTATGTTAGATATTCCTGTCTTAGGGTAAATGGGAAATTCTCACATATGGTAAGCACGATCTAATAGGGTCTCAAACAGGGCCACGTAGTCAAGAATTCTCTCTCTACTGATGCCCTTACATGCTGTTGTATTATCCCTCTAGCTAGCTATAATATTTTTAATTGAAAGCATCTCTATATCATTAGCAAACATAAGCTTTAGCTCGAACTCTTATGACTCAGCTCTATAGCACGATTTGGATTTGAATGAAGGGTAACAGACTCCTAAATGCCTTGTAGCCTCCTGCTTATAAGTGTGGTGCACAACACACCGATAAACAAGACTCTACTAGACANTGAAGGGTAACAGACTCATAAATGCCTTGTAGACTAGGGTTGTGCATAATTTGGTAAATACCGAATTACCGTACCGAAATCAAAAATTTTGGTTTTTGTTATTTGGTATTCGGTATTTTGGTATTTGGTATTGTATTTGGTTTAAGTTTTAAAAAAAATCGGTATTAGGTATGGTATTTGGTATTTTAAATAAAATACTAAAATACCGATATCGTACCGAAATATATATTATATTACACAAAATACATATTATCAATTATAACATAAATATAAAAATCTAAAATTTTACTTTCCTTTATTCTCTAAGTTTATTTAACTCTAAACAAGTAACAAGACATTTTTAATGATCAAATTTATTCTTTTATATACAGTTTTCTCTCTATGGGTCGATATTTACTGTTTTTGGACAAAACTTTTGTCAACAAATATTTTTAATTTTGTATTTTTGAGTATTTTAATTTAGAATATTAGAGTTTATGGCTCTATTCACTAGTAAGTATTCAAACCGAATAAATCGAAGTTACCGAACCGAATAAACCGAAACCAAAAGGAGAAAAACTGAACCATACCGAATTTAATTAGGTACGATATTGGTATAAAATTTTAAGAAACCGAATACCGAAAATACCGAACCGAAATATCTAAATACCATACCGTACCAACCAACGAATACCCCTATTATAGACTCCTCCTTATAAGTGTAGTGCAAAATATACCCATAAACAAGACTCTACTAAACACGACTTGTAGACTCTCTAGGATAGAACTGCTCTGATACCAAGTTTGTCATGATCCAAACTTGAAGAGGCGTGGCCGGCACCCGGTACCATACTCGGCCCGAGCGTACCACTCTGTAACTGTAAGCTCTAGAGGAGTAACCCTCAACCTAGGCCGATGAGGCCATATTATGAATCATCTGAAAATATCATCTCTCTCATCTGAGGGGTAAACATACCCAAAAACTCATATATATTTAAATATATAAATGTCCAGACTGACGACGCTGCCATGAACATCTACTGATATACAAACTATACAGGACTTGTCTACAAGCATCTAGAGATAGTTGAATTGTATCATGGTCGGGACAGGGCCTCGACCTACCCATCAAACATGTATATATAAAATGGACTCCAAGGTCTAGACCTGGTTACTCCGGGAAAGTGGAGCTTACCAACCAAGCTGATATTTGGCTCTGTCTACTGGGAAGGTCTATCCAGCTGTCTATCAGGACCTACATGCATGAAATACAGCGTCCCCAGCAAAGGGACGTTAGCATATAATAATGTACTAAGTATGTAAGACAACAGAATAATTGAAAACTGAAACTGAACTGATGATATAATAACTGAATGTAACTGGGAGTCAAAAATAATCTGAAGATATGCTTACCTGCTGATACTGACTCAACTTTCTCCATATAGTATGTAAAATAGATGTCCGGCCCTATAAGGCTCGATATGTGTAACTGCCCTGCCATAGTAGGCTCAATCATAGGCGCTCGGCCATACTAGGCTCTGTATCTCGGCCATTCTAGGCTCGCTCATAGGCGCTCGGCCACAGTAGGCTCGGTATATAACTTACCATCTGATCAGAGGTTGCCCAATAGGGGTCTGCCCACCGATTATAGCTCGATGGTGGTGAAAATAATGTAATAGTGTGTGTGTGTATATATATATATATATATATATATAGACCCTCTGCTCTCCTGGCCAGAAGAAAACAATACTTAACTGAATATAAAGTCCCGATAAAGGAGAATACTATAACTTCTAAGACTAGGATAATGTGAATAAACTCAGGAATACGAACTTCTCTTTATGTCTCGTTATCAAACATATGTGGTTACCGGATCATGCCAAAGTGAAGGAAAGGTTTAGCCTTAGCATACCTTATCACAATCTTTCCAATCACCAAGTTGAACTCGCCTCTTCTCCCCTTAATCTACAACAACTATAATAATACTATCATTAAGTTACGAAAGGTACAACTATTGCACAACGAACGACAAGCTTATTTTGTATTAAAACGGACAGCATCTCCCCTATAATCCTTACTTCCTCCAAATTCAAGATAACATCAACAACACCAAAAACAACAATAACAACATATATGCCTTACTTTCCAACCTTATGTACACTACACAATACTACAAAACAGCCCAACACACTCCAATCTCTTCATACACAAAATGACCACCGTAATATTGTCAAACAGCCCGAAAATGTTACGACGAACGATCAGCCCATCACCCTCCATTTATTTGGTGTTTCTCCACACCCTTACTCCTCCAAAACTCCACAAAACAGTAGTAAAACACGCAGCCCAACAGCAACACAAAACAGTCCGCTACAAGTGAATAACTTGAACTCACGGCTTCCGATCACCGTCACGTGAGTTCTAACTATTAGGAAATTAATTTATCAACCTTTATTGATATTTAAAAGATTAAATACAGAAATAAGGCATTTTATTAACTATTAAATACCTTCCAAAACTCAAACTGCAAAGAAAAAGAGAAGCAATATAGTGATACTTACGTCGTAGGGATCGTTTTAATGTTATTGCTACTTGATTTCGTGCCCCGGATGAAAATCTTGTGGGAAACCCTTGTGGAGAGATTGAGAGTAAAGTTAGGGGTCTTATTTGGTCGTTTTCTATGGAAAATTGAATAAGGAGACGAGATAAGGATATAAATATCCAATTTGTTTGAAAAGTCAAAAAAGTGTTACTTGGCACCCTATCATTAGCCTTTCTTCATATGCTTATATCTTTTTATACGGACGTCGTATGAATGAACGGTTAAGATAATTGGAAACTATATTCCAAGACCTTCAATTTAGTATAGAATATGTCTCAACAAGACCTCATATAACACACAAAATGTATTTCTCAAAAAGCTTTAGTGACACACCTACTTGTCACCTATGTAGTTTGTGCAGTCTTGCAAATCTGCAAATATCACTAAACCCCGATGTCGTATCGATAAACAGTTTAATGATTTAGAAACTAGACTCATAGATCTTCAATTTTATGGGTATAACCCCCATAACTCTAAGTATATTGGGAGAAAATCGCAATTATATTTGACCCAAAGTTTCAGTAAATCTTATGAACGTAACTTGTGATGACTTTCATCGACTTTTGTTCCACAACTCGCTTGACTTCAAAACATAACACACAATTACCATACGACTAACATAACTCATAACATAACCTCCTTATAATGTTAATCTCCCTAGTCTCACCCCAAAAGTATATGTTATAACATTCTCAACTTGACTTTCGACGAAACTTATTTTCTTCAATTGGTTTAGCTTCTATGCCTTCCAACCCTCTTGGTACTTGCAGTCCATGATATTTAACATTTGTAACCTCCAAGTTAACATGATTAACTAACTTTGTAACCTTTTCAAATATGATTTCATTTATGAGCTTACATCAATTGACTTACGACGTACTCGTACGTACGAAAACATGGGTTGCAACAACATCCTTTCAACTTCTTATTTTCTCTTAACTTCCTTTAAAATGGCGAAAACTTCAAAGTTTGTTCCCTAGATAGAAACTCTCTCTGCCTCGCGACCGGCTGAAGAAGAAAATGTTCCATGTACTGTTGCCGAGGAAAAGACATCGGAGCCCTCCTTAACTATGTTCGTTCCTATGGGGTGCCCAATAGGTGTTGACTTTAAAGTTGAAAAAAGCTCTTCCGTACCGGGTCAATGTGAGCCGGTCTCGAGATATATATGCTCCATCACTGACAATCTCCTCTCCAAAGACAATCTCATATGCCTGAGGAGTCAATCACTACCCACATGGAGGGTTTTCTATGTATTTACACTTATTCCTTCATGTTGGGCCCTTAGGACCCGGTCATCATTGCCTTCTGTAAGAGGAACGAGGTGACCCTTGGTAATATTCATCCCTCCTTCTGGAGGATAGTGATTCCCATCCGCTTCTTTGTAAGCAAAATCAACAAGTTACCTGCACCATCGATTATCTCATGCGTCTGTATAGTCTCCGACTCTATCGAGGGGGATTGATAAAACTTGCCCGTCAGGACACTAAGGCCCTATTATCGAGCATAGACGAGGACCAAGACCAAGGCTGGTTGGGCCGATACGTTCGAGTGAAGACCTCGGATCTAATCCCGACCGAGGACATGCAATTTCCCGAGACATGGAACATGAAGGGTAAGTATAACCTTACCTTTAAGATTTCATTTATTGCTTTTTCCTTTTCCTCCCATCTTATCGATGTTTCGTGGTGCAGCTATTTCTCGGATGTCGAATGCAGTTCCCTGACTCAAGGAGTGGGTCGAGGGCATAGTATCTCAGAAGCCCTATTTTCAGCGTGTGTGACGCAAACTTTCAAAGCGTTGGTGGGAGGCTCGTTCTCATGTTAAGGTTCTTCGCTAGAACTGATATCAATTGGGTTTCTTTCCGAGCTTACTCAACTCTTTTTCTTCGTATGCCTTGGGAAGGATATTACAATGAGACCCCCATCCGGAGATGAAACCGTCCTTCCCCAATCACTTGCTCCGAAGAAGGATAAAGAGAAGAAAAGAAAAGGGGCACCGAGTTCCTCGAACTCGTAGAAGCAGAAACCGAAAAGGAGGCAGGTGTGCAAACTGGAAAGCGTCAGATCCCTCCCATTGGACTTGGTCCACCGATTGAGGGATGAGTCCGAAGAAGAAGAAGAAAATTCCGAGTTGGTGGCTCGGGTGCGAGTCTACAACGCATTGCCTCAAGCCAAGGAGGCTGTTGAGAGGGCAGTGACCGAGGTCTCTGAACCGGAGAGGGGTGAGGCCGCTTTGCCCCAAGCTAGGGAGGTTGAGAAGGAGACCGGGGCCGATATTCCTCGAGCAGAGGAAAGTGCTCCGAAATATGTGCTTGGGATGATTGATCTCTCTAGGTCTCCTTTATTCTCCGATTCTATGATCAACGAGGTCGGTATGCTAAAAGATCATTCACACGAAGGGCCTCAATGGGCCGGCAGATCTTAATTATTTATTTGTTGGCTTAAAATCTACCGCCTCGGAGGATGTTATTGGGTTTGGTGACATACCGGTTCCAACGAAGGCACCATCTTTGGGAGATAGTGGGTCTTCTTCGAGTTCGAGGTTAGTGGATCAGTTCCCGACTTCGAGTGTTGATCCTGACCGAAAGCGGTCAATAATTATCTCTATCCCAGAGGATGCCCCGGTTCTCTCCGCCCCCGTGAGGGTTGCTAGCTATCTCTGGTGCTTGGTGATCGAAGAGGACCAGGCCAAGATGGATGAGGTAGAAGCGCCCTACCTGTTCAATGAATCTCAACAGGCGTTGAATTGGGTAACTTCGAATGAGTCTTTATCATGTACTTTAGATTTTAAGTTGAAAATAATTGTAAGAGTTTTCTTTATGCTTACAGGCTTCGGTACATCATCATGAAATCTTCCCATGATATTGGGAGGAGTTAACCCAACACGAGGTTGAGGTTCGGGAGCTTACTGAGTAGAGAGACACCTACAAGCTACTAAGTGAGAAACTCCAGGCCGAGCTAGAAGCGACTCGGAAGGAGCATGCCGAATGGGTCGAGCAGGTAAATCGAGTACTTGAAGATAGTGAGGAAGATTTGGACACAGTGGCTAACGATCCGATCCTGCTGGTCCAAAAAAGACTTGATCGGATCAGGCAACTCCAGGCAAAGGTGGACACAAAGAAAGCTGAGGCCGAAGAATGGAAGAGAAACATGGACCTCCTAGCCTCGGAAAAAGAGGCCGTCCAAGCTCAACTGGCATTGACTGAGGCCCAGCTCCAGGCTACAGAGGAAAAGGCCTTGACCCGGGCCAAAACAATCGAGGAGATCTGGTCTCAGCTGAGCTCGGTTGTTTCCAGCCAAGAAAATTAGGCCAAGGAACTTGAGGCGGCCAGGTCAAAGATTTTTGTGGTCAAGGCCGAAACTGATGAGAAGGTGGCCCAGCATAAGGTCGATGCTGAGGCAGCTCATGATCAAGTGAAGCATTTGGTGGAGCACATGAAGTAGCAAACCCGAAAGGAGGCCCTCAAAGGAGTTCATGCTCAGGGCTTCGACCTGCTAGATGAGATCGAGAATGCCAAGATATCTGAGACCAAGGCCAGGAAGCCGGCTTATCCCGAGGAGGAGGATTTCGAGGGGTCTGAAGACTCGGATGAGCCCGAAGGTGGTGAAGACCCCGAAGGCGACGATGCGGCCCCCGGTGAAGATTAAGCTACTTATGATCTTTTTAGGCGTTTTGTCTTTTATTTTTTTGAGGCCGTTTTGGCCATTGTAGATTTCTGTATCGGGGCCATTTTACCCTTGTAAAAAGATTTTTGAATAAATATATATAAGGGTTTCTTTCGTTTTCAGCTTTCGAATTTTTTTCTTTGCCTTGTTTATTCTTTCTTGCAAAGGTCTAAATGCCTTGGAATAAAATAATTGGTTTTTGTTTAGAGACTCGAAGAAGTCTTGCCTTCACTTTGAGGCATCATTGGGGCTCGGTATGACCGAAATTTTTCTTTCCCCAAACTACTTAGACTATTTTAAGTCATAGTCTGTCGAAGGTAGCCTTTGGAACCGGTTAAGAAATTTTAAGGCCTTGTTGTTTTTTGTAACGGGCCTCGACGTCTTCGAGCCGTGTTTATATGGCTGTAGCCTTTATAGTTTGGGTGTTGTCCTGTATTAATATTATTATCCCAAGTTATCCGGGTTCGACTAAGATGGCAGTCCCCGAGTAGGGGTGGCCTTAGCCTATAAAATTTAGGGGTTGCCTAATAGGTCTTATACCCCCGAGGTCTAATAGCTTGGACAGTCCGAGTTTGTTTTAGGATGGCAATCCACGAGCAAAAGAGTGATTATTTGAACTTCGGCTAAGGTGGCCATTGGGCTCGTTTCCTTTAGGGGATCGGTAGCGGGGAATTCCTTAAGAAGTGCAAAGGATTTGTTTTTTAAAAGACAAGATGTTTGTAGGGAGAGATATTTCTTTATTCTTGTGCATAATAAGGATGTATGTATACACGCTTTGCGTCAGGGCTCAGCAGTCTATGTGGCACGGTTCATTTGACCATTTGGCCCTTACATTGAATCTTATCGATCGAGACCCTTTCAATCCTAAAATCTCTTTACATGCTAAAGTTGATATCAGACGTTAATTCCCCCAGCGTTCGAGGTTGATTGAAGTGAGGCCTCGTATACTGTTTTGATCGTTGTTACTGGTTCGTTGCTGGCCTTCAATTCTAAGTTATCATGATTTACTTGTTGCCTCGTTAAAAACCTTGCCGAAAAATCCATTTGGGACAAAACCGATTCAAGGGAAAAAGAGTGCAACGCGTGCTTTCTGACCTAAAATCTCGTACTTTTCCTCATCGATCACCTACAAGAGTTAGTCCGAAATATAAATAAAAGAAAATGAATGGGGTCGTACCAAGCAGTAATATCGTTTTAGGTGAGTTACATTCCAATCGCTCGGTAGTTGTTCACCATTCATCGTCTCGAGCTTGTAGGATCCTTTTTCCGGTGATTTCGATGACTTGGTACGGCCCTTCCCAATTCGGCCCCAACTTTCCCTCATTCGGGTTTCGGGTGTCCAACGTGACCTTCCTTAGCACTAAGTCCCCGACGTTGAAGTACCGAAGGTTGGCCCTTCTGTTTAATATCCCCCGATCTGCTTCTTTTGAGCAGCCAGCCGAACAAAGGCGACTTCACGCTTTTCATCCAATAGATACAGGCTTGTATTCATTGCCTCGTCATTTGATTCCTTTGTATCATATCGGAATCCGATGCTTGGCTCTCTAATTTCGAACAGTATCAAAGCTTCGGCGCCGTAAACCAATGAGAACGGAGTGGCCCCGGTACTGGACTTCGAGGTCGTACGATATACCCAAAGAACTTTGTTAGAATAGTTGTGTGAATATATGTAATTAGTCCTAGTCCCTTATGTAATATGAGTAGGTTATGTATTATGTATACATATAAATAGGTCTCAATGTAATATAGAATATTTATCAATAATATTTTCTCCCATGCTTTCTCACATCGTATCAGAGCCTTGGTTATAAAAGATCGTTGAGCGTCATTCCAGCGACATCTGGGAAGAAAGAACTCAGTCACCGTGCAATTTTCCGGTGACCTAAGTGACTGTTGACGTCAAAGTCAATATTTATCAGTGTTGTGAATAAACCAACACCACCACAAGGTCCGCCATAGTCCCGCAACCAAACCCTAGAAAATCCCGCAGGAAAAATCATGCCCACACGCCCTCACGTACCGGGCAGACTCCAAAAACTCTGGCGAGATCTGTGCACGCGCCGGGCGCGTGAGATCCCTTACAGCCATATTCCGATGAACTTCCTTCAGAGAAGCGTACTGGCATGGCCATTCCGAGTTGACCAGTGCTATTCCTGACAAATTCCGACAATTTTGAAATTTTTTGGCAAGCTACAGTATTTTTTCGGTGTGAATAGTGTTTCCAGCATAAAATAGTGTTCTATTTTTCTGTTGTGAACAGTGTTTTCCAGCTATTTCTTCCATTTTCCTGCATGAGTTACTGATTTCCACTATTTCAAGTTAACCCTACTACTTTTAGTCAAGATTTTGAGAAATAAATTGTAGCGAAATGGGATCCAATAGTATGAATGGTTGGATGGATTCTCTACCGGATTATATGGAGTTTCTTTAGTACAAAGCACGTAAACAGACATCTTCAGGATTAGCCTCCGTTGTTCCAATAGATAGTAGCATGACTTGTGTCTCCCAATCTTCAACCTCTGAGTCTTGGGTCATTGATTCAGGGGCATCTAATCATATTTTTGGTAACAAATCTCTTTTCACTAGTATTTCATATTCTCAATCTCTTCCAACAGTCATAATGGCAAATGGGTCTCAAACCATGCCAACTACAATAGGTTAAGCAAGTTCACTTTCTTCCTTACCTTTAGACTCAGTTCTTTATGTTCCCGGTAGTCCTTTTAATTTCATAGTCGTTAGTCGCTTAGCCAAATCACTTAAATCTGCTATTTTATTTCTTGATGACCTTATTTTTATATAGGAATGCAGTACGAGGCAGATCATTGGTACCGGACGTGAATCGGATGGAGTTTATTATCTTATCCTTGCAAAATCATATGGACTCACATCTTGTCTTCCTTCAACAACTCATCCCATTACTGATTCACCTAATTTATTACATAAACAGTTGGGACATCCCAGATTGTCAAAATTTCAGAAAATAGTACCTGGCTTATCTCACTTATCCAATCTAGAGTGTGAGTCATGTCAGCTCGGTAAGCATACCCGCTCCCATTTCCCGTGGCGTCTTGATAATCGAGCGGAGTCACCTTTTACTTTAGTCCATTCAGATTTTTGGGGTCCTAGTCGGGTCGGTTCTACCTTGGGATTTCGCTACTTTGTCAGTTTCATTGATGATTATTCTAGGTGCACTTGGATATTTTTGATGAAAAATCAATCTGAGTTGTTTTCTATTTTCCAGACCTTCCACGCTGAAATTCAAAATCAATCTGGGGTTTCTATTCGCACATTTCGTAGTGATAATACCCTAGAGTATTAGTCTTCCCCATTTCAGCAGTTTATGAACTCCCATGGAATTATTCATCAAACATCTTGTTCGTACACATCCTAACAAAATAGGGTAGCTGAAGAAAAAATAGACATCTTATTGAAACTGCTCATACCCTCCTCATACAATCTCATATTCTGCTGTGTTTTTGGAGGGATGCGGTTCTTACATCTTGCTATCTTATTAATCGTATGCCATCTTCAGCTATCCAGAATCAAGTTCCACTCTCTGTCCTGTTTCCCCACTTACCTTTGTTCTCTCTTCCACCCTGTGTCTTTGGGAGTACGTGTTTTGTTCATAATCTTACTCCAGAAAAAGATAAGTTAGCTCCTCGTGCTCTTAAGAACATATTTTTGGGTAACCCGAGAACACAAAAGGGATATAGATGTTATTCTCCTGACCTCCAGTGGTTTCTTATGTCTGCTGATATTACCTTCTTTGAAACCCAATCATACTTCACCGGTCGAGGTAATCACTTAGATATTTCTGAGGCGCTACCACTTCCGCCTTTTGGAGATTCAATCACTATCTCCCATTCATCTTCCTCCATAGCTCCAGTTGCAGCTCCACCACCTACAGCTCCAGTTGCAACTCCACCACCTATAGCTCCAGTGCCACCACCTAGTCCAGTTCCACTAACTATAGCTTCAGTGCCACCACCTAGTTCAGTGCCACCACCTAGTCCAGTTCCACCAACTATAGCTCTAGCACCACCACCTAGTCCAGTTCAACCTTCTACAACTCCACTACTCCTGACTTATTATCTTCGTCCGCAACCAGTATCAGGCCCAGTTGATTCACGTCCTGCACCTGACCCTGCTAATACTGCGGACTTGTCTCCTCTTAGTCAACCGATTGCACTACGAAAAGGTATACGGTGCACACTTAATCCTAATACCCATTATGTCGGTTTAAGTTACCATCGTCTGTCATCGTCCCATTGTGCATTTTTATCATCTGTGTTCTCTGTTTCCATCTCGGGTGGCGACAGGATAAGGTAAAGCACTGTCTCATCTCGGGTGGCGACAGGATATGATTGACGATATGTCTGCTTTACATACCAGTGGTACTTGGGATCTTGTCCATCTCCCTTCGGGTAAATCGACTGTTGGTTGTCGTTAGGTGTATGCAGTCAAAGTTGGTCCAGATGGCCAGGTCGATCGACTTAAGGCTCGTCTTGTTGCCAAAGGGTATACTCAGATATTTGGACTTGATTACAGTGATACTTTCTCTCCCGTGGCTAAAATAGCATCAGTACGCCTTTTTCTATCCATGGTTGTTGTTCGCCATTGGCCTCTTTATCAGTTGTACATTAAGAATGCTTTTCTTCACGGTGACCTTGAGGATGAGGTTTATATGGAGCAACCACCTGGTTTTGTTGCTCAGGGGAGTATAGTGGCCTTGTATGTCATTTGCGCCGATCCCTCTATGGTCTAAAGAAATCTCCTCGAGCCTGGTTTGGTAAGTTCAACATAGTTATTCAGGAGTTTGGCATGACTCGTAGTGAAGCTGATCACTCTGTGTTTTATCGGTATTCTGCTTCAAATCTCTGTATTTATCTAGTCGTTTATGTTGACAATATTGTTATTACCGGTAATGATCAGGATGGTATTAGTAGGTTGAAGCAACATCTCTTTCGGCACTTTCAGACTAA